CTTTCCAGTAGGAAAGGCAATGAGGAAACAACATTTGAAAAGGACTGAAAATGCTACTTTCTCTGATTAATGTAAAATAACCTGTATTAGAGGACTCAGTTTTTATCGTCTGGATTTTAAAGATTAAAAAACCCCAACTAACAAATACCTTTACACTCTTCAATCACTATAAATGGTACAAAAGTAGACATAATTCATGCTAAATTTGAAGCTCTTTTACTCTCCCATACTGATGTGAAATAAAACTGAAAATTAGACCTGTTGTTATTTCTGTATAAACTGTCCATTAGAATAAAAAAAAAAATTTTTTTTGCTATGACTTCAAAACTAGGTTCCTATCTGGGAGAATCTATAGAATGGCTGTCAAGATTTATACCATTATCTGACTACTGATGGATTTAATAATCACATCATGATGGCGTACTCCATCTTTCTGGAGTACAATCCTGACAAGAAAAAATATGTGTCTGCATATAACATGGATTTTATATTCTAACATTTGTAAAATGATAAATTATCTACTGCAGCTGATTAAGACAATATTGGTATGTAAGATGGAAAAAGTGCAACTACTGCTTAAAATTATTTAAAAGAAATTAGAATTACTGGAGTTCAATGGATATCTCTTAAAGTTCTTGGAATTACGTGTAGTGTACTAGGCATAGCAGAAAGCTTATGATGGTGAAATATCTATGTGATCTTTCTTTTTTTTCTTTCCATACATTATCACGAACATACCAAAAAGATATACATACAAGAGAACAGAAGGAGAAACACAGTATCTACTATGTTGCTGTCATGACTGACATTTTAATTGGCTCACAAGTGTATGGGGACTGCAGTATGTTTAGACTTAATTTCCACATGTACAATACAGCCATTACAACTAGTCTTTTCTACATCTGGGAATTAGTTTATAGCATTGCAACTGTTGCTCATCTGGTCTTCTGCTGTCTTTGCCATGAACATGAGGCTTGACAGAGAAACTGTGGCTGGATAAAATAGCTAGCAGATATTAATGTAGTCCCCTTAGGTATACTAGTTGAGAACATACCTCTGTAAGCAGAGAGAAGCCCAAACCACAGTGTTTAGAATTGGAGCTAAATAAAATAGGGATTGCAGACTTTGAGTGTTTCTTCTTGTGTTGGAAGGGGAAAGGCAGGGTGGGTGAAAAGTACAGTAGGTACGACAGCACATGCTAACAGTGCTGGAGCCCATCTCATGAGGACTGCTGTTGTTCAACTGCAGCTTTCAGGGCACACATACATGGAGCAAAGGCCATCTGCATTACAGCTGCTTGGGACTTCTCCAGCAAAGACCCCTTGCTATCCAAAAATTATGATTCATCAGAATATTTTATTTCTTTTTTCCTAATGAAAACTAAATTTTCAAGAACATTTTTATTCAAAAGTTTTCTCAGATAGATTTGTCATAGAATATTCCAATGGAGTTCATTTGCTTTGACTGACTGTACTTTTACTTAGACAAAACATGAGAACAGAGAATTAATGCATGTGTGTCATGGTTCACTGAAGGTAATTTATATAGATGTGGAACATCAGTCAGAAAGTCTGTATCTCTTCAAGGTTATAGAGGCACAGAGAGACCAACATCCTCAGAGACAATTCACAAACAGGGCTGTGTCCCATCTCCCTCTTGAGGGATCACGATGAACCAAAAAAAGAGTGAGATCTGAACTGCAGTCTCCCACATCCCCTGAGTTATAGAATGATCCTCAATAGAAATTTAATTCTTTTGTCACCATCAAGTCAACTGGACTCTGGCCCATTATTTAAGTATTTTCACAAACCTAAATAGTTGCAATAAAAGTAACAAAATCCCCCTGATTTTGTTCCAGGATTTATCAGAGACATGAAGGAAAAGGAGTTTTGTTTGTTTTGCTTTAAAATCATACACGATCTTCATAACTATTGAGCTATTTCAGAGCATTCACATATCAGTATTACTAAGAAAATAAGGAGGAAGGGGTTTGGAGTTTGTTGTGGTTTTTTTTGGTTTTTTTTTTTTCCCCTATCCCGTTTTTCCTTTACACAATTTGATTTAGCATGATGAAGAAAATAAAACCAAACCCCAAACCCTGAAATCTTTCAGAAACCAGAGTTCCAGTTTTCCAGCCAGCCCTCATCCACATGGAGGCCAAATGCTTTTGTCATATTATTAATTCAGTCTGCACAAGAGGTTGTGGTTCTCTTGATAGAGGAACTCTACTAAGAATTGTGGTGCCAGAAAATCTGACAAGTGCCCTCCCTCCCAGTACAATATTTTGGAGAGAGGAAGCACAGAGCAGAAGGCGGACTCTCTGTGGGTTGTTGGGGGATGGTTTGCATAATGCTTACAATTCTTTGTAGTGTGGTTTTGAAGGGAGAGAAAGTTGGAGCATTTTAACAGCCCTTCTCTCTCCATCTCCTGCAGTTTATACAGGACAAAGAGAAACCAGGCAAAAAGTAGAAATCAATGTTGTTACTTTCCTGACTTTTCTACCATCTTAGAACAAGGTCTACCAGCAAAGTCTAGTAGACCATGCATTACAGCCAGTGTCTGGAAACAGATTTAGGAAAGGTTTTGGCAGTACAATAAAACCAAATATTTCACGATAATGAGTGCTCAGTTTCAGATGCTGTTTTAAACCACATTCAACTGTACAAAATATGTGTTTTTTTAGTTTTGTTATTTTTATCTCTCACCCCTATTTTAAAATACCTGAGAATTATTTTTAATACTTCTTTCACCTTTCAGGTAAATGTATTAGCAGTCATACTGACCACTGTGAACAGAAGCATTAGATCTTAGGAAGATGACTGAAACCCTAATAAATTTGAAACCGTTTTCAATTAGTACACAGGAAATTTACTTTGTGAGCCATGACTTGTTTTATTAGTGCCCTGGAGGGCAATTTAGATTGGAAAAATCAGGACATCATTGTTTGCCAAAAAAAGAAAACAGATACTTAGCTTTCATCTATAGTCTGGGATACAGCCATGAAAATGTGACTAAAATATTATTGAGTATCAAAAAATATTTATACATTGGGGTCAATCATAGTTCCAGAGTGTTGGAAACGACATTCAGCCCATCCTAAAGTGTGTACTTAACTTGGAAGTTTGCCACTTGCTAACATACTGCTTTTACTTTTTAATGAACCCAAAGTAAAACCTACATTTTTAATAGGCACAATTAAAATATGGGAAGAGTTGCTCAAGAAGGAGAAACCTCCTTAAAATGTATCATACCTCTTGAACTTTATTCACCTGTGTTCTCTATTGGGTTACATCATATACCCTATTCTCTATTTTTCTTCTCCGTTTTTACTCAAATTCTCAGCCAGGAATAAAAACTTACATTAAAAGGCACAAAACAGAAAGGAGTAGGTACAGAGAAGGGCTCCTACCAGTGCATAATCCCTTCTAAAAATATGAATAGCAGGATCAACTTTTATGACTGCAAAATTTGTTCTACCAATTGTAGTCTGGTCAGTAAAGTGAAGGAGAGGATACACCCGATGAAACAGCTCTTAATATGTTTTTGCCTGATGTACACAAGCATCAAATACAAAAGTGCTCCCTGTGTGTTAACCTGCCTTGACCTCATCCACCTGTATAAGGGCCTCTTGCAGTGTGGTCTATAATTTTTCAATATATTTTAATCATAGCCACGTCAATGTCTTTCACACTTCAGCAAGCTCCTTCAAATGATGCCAAGCTCAGTTAGATTCAGCAGCACTGGACCGTGGCTTAATCACTTAGGGCTAAATTATCATAACTCTTTCTTGGTCGTGCAAGTGAGGGAGAAGTGTCCCCTCCTATTTTCCCCACTGTGAATGTAACTCTAGGGGGAAAGACAGGAATATGAGAAGACCCTGGTGCACTTTGCTCCATATGCAGCAGCTGATACATAGGGTGAGAAATAAAATTCTCTAAGAGAAGAGGTGAAGTGCTTTAGTCTTTTCACCAAAGCATGTACTGGAAGGATGCGACTCAAAACAAGTATTCATACCATTTACCATTAGGTTTCACCTGTACAATGAGCTCACTGTAGTTAGGTAAAAGAGGCTGCTCCATGAAATAATTCAGAGCACCGAAAAAACCCTAGTACTCAAAGCCAGCCTCTGTGAGAAAAACCTATATGAATAGTGATCATAACGACTCCAGGGTTCACAGAAGTGAAATTACCCCATAGTCAGTCACAATTCCTATCAAAAAAAGGAACATTAAAAAATACAGGGGCATTCAGTAATGAATCTCCAGATAAATACAAGTTTTGTCAGGGTATTAAAAGTCCTTATGGTTTTCCTTTCCCATATGAAGTTTTCACCTGCAAGATCTATGCTTCTCAAATCAATCGTAGATGCAGTATATGAGCTCTTACACCTGAAATAATTTCAGACATGCAAGTATCCATCCAAGAGTTTAACTTGCAAGAGTGAACTCTTGTAAATGTTGCTTCCTCCAGAACAAAAAGGCTACCATGTGTGAAAACAGCATTCACAGTTCAGATCTGTGGTGTACCTACAGTCCTAGCACACATTTACCCTCTGGACATGTCTGACCCTGAGGCAGAAATACCATAGTTGCAATTCCCAGCTCCCCTGGAGGGACGGACCTTGGCATGTCCATCCACCAAAATCTCCCAAACAGAAGCGAAGCATAGGAATGTCATCCTAATGATCCAGGTCCCGCCTCAGTAAGCCGGCATGATGGTGTCAGGCCACGTATCAGGGACCAGACCTGTAGGGCACATCATGGGCTGCACCTATGCCTTATTATAAGCATGTTTTCTATCTGTCTCCATCAAAACAGCTGTGTCTATCTGAACTTCTAGCTGAGCTTTTAACAGAAAACTAATCCTTTACATAAAATTCAGAGTTTTAGGATCTTTAAGGAACATAGTAACACTATACAGAATTCTTCACCACTGGGACACAAACAAGAATGAACAGTTAGCTTTAACTTATTTAAATACAAAAAAGAAAAAGAGCTTACCTCACACAGCCACAAGTTTAATGGTCAAGGCAAAATTATCCAGTTTGATTGATGTTTCTTTTGATACTCCTAGAGGAAAATAATTTTATATTTGAAAAATACATCTAATATACAGAAGAACCCATAAAAGTTTACCTACCTATTTTGAAAAGTAAATAAGAACGTAATTAGTTACCACAGCATTGCTTTAAAGCATCCAAAGCCCTGACTATATAACAGGGAGCATTCTGAATTCAATACATTTTGGGAAAGTGCCTGGCAGAGGGCTTGTGACGAAACACAGTAGTATTGCTCATATAAAATATCAGCCTCTTTGCTGTAATGAGGCAAAGTCATCTTGCTTTGCAACTGCAGTTTGTTAGGATTGTCTCATTAATAGAAAAAAAAAACCCACACAAAAAAAAACCCCAAACCAAAAAACCAAACCAACAAGCCAACACTCTCTTCCAAGTTTAAATGCATCCATTTTTATTGGAATTATGTTACATCTCCTTATAAAGGCAAGCCTAGACATAAGACACTAAACTAAGTAAGTTTTACTTCTTGAAACATTATATCATGGTTTTACTTTGGCCCACTCAGTTAATCTTGCTTAGGAAAAAAGGAGGGAGGCAGCATTTATTTGGAGGAGGGACATGGAGTTTTGCAGTGCTGTATGAATAACACACAGCACAGGTGTGGAGCATTGCATAAATAACCCTATGGCAAAAAAACAGCAAGCAAGAGCACAGGGAACCTGATCTTACATTAGCCAGAATTCTGTAACACAGATGTCAGATTGCCTGTGCCTAGGAGCAAGGCAGAACTACTACACACTTTTTGGACTCACAGGACTACTCAGACACATATGTGGGCATCCACAAAAGCTAACTCCAGCCAAGGAAAGTTGATTAGAAAGCCAAGTTCATTTTGAGTAGCTCAGAGCACCTAACTAAACTTCAGCTGTAAAGGAACCTCACTCTCTTCACCAAAAAATCTCAGATAATTCACCTTCCTACACTAACCTCAGACTACATGAAGCCCCCTTTCTCCATTCTGTTCCATTTGGTCTTGTTTGTTTTGTTGTTTTGTTGGGGTTTTTGGTTTGATTTTTTTTTTTCCCTGAAAAGTTTTAAGAAAACAAGATAAATGAAAAATATTTAAGTGTTTCTACAACTCATTAAGAAGAAATTTGCTCATGTAAGTGGGCCTTCCAGGCACTGGCTCATAACTGCTGGCAATATGACAAACTTACCACTGCCTGATGCCTGTCACATGAGCATGAACACCCTGGGCTGCAGTTTCCTGCTCTGGGACCTAGAGCATGCCCTAGATCAAGAGTGGCTAAAGAGTGACTGAGCTGTGAATGAACAGAGAAAAATACTTTTCAATACTTTCTGTATGGAATTTATCCATGAAAGATCAAGTCCAAATGGAACTAAACCCAGTTTGGTCTACAGTTGGTTCCTTTCACTGAACATTTAAAATTAAAGATTTCTGTTTGGAACACATGGACTATGTTGTTATATCTGACAGCAGATGCTATAGGACCCTACAGATTTGGAGGATACATCTTGTCTTTTAATATGTGCTTGCACAATGCCTAACATTCCTTGGCAAATAAGTTAGTAACATTCTCACGTAGAATTATGCAAGGTCTTTCTTGTTACATGCAAGTTTAGTATATAAAAAAAATTATATTTGGATCATGATTTACAGTTTCACTGAACTGCTCTGGCTTTCTAAATGTGACTGACACAGAAGGAACTATGCTAAATATTTCTTTTTAAATAAGGAAAATTTTTTTTTTTTTTTTTTTTTTTTTTTTTTTTTTTTTGTATAAATGTATTACAAGAAGTTTTCTGAAAGACAGTCTAGTCTCTAGTTCTAAAGAGCTGACAGAAAAAAACCCTCATCCAGTGGAAGAAACCAGTGTTATGAACTTGCCCACATCAGCTGTCAAACAGAAGCCAACATGCTCAATTAACATAATGAGAAAAAAAGTTTTAATATCTCAAAAATACAAGAGTTGATCTTCTGTAACCTACACTGTCAGTGATTTAAAATGAAATAAATTACCTTATCTGCTAAGGGGAACTAAGTTAATGTTTTTGTTGTTTTTGTTGGTGGTTTTTTTTAAGCTATATAATAGCTGCTGATTTGCTCTCCAGGAGTATTTTTAATTTTTTTTCCTTAGTGTTCTCTTTCCAGTCTGAAGACAAATTTCAGACCTCACTCTGCCTTGTGTTAAAACCTTCTAAAGACAAATTTCAGACCTTAATCTGCCTTGTGTTAAAATCTGAACAAAGCCCAGTGAAGGAAGTAGAAGACATTTCAATAAACTATGGTAGCAAGACCCAAACGATGCAAACCCATCAAATCTGACAGACCTAGATCTGTACAGGCTGACATAGACCATTTTAAAAGTAAACCTCCAGAAAGTGGAAGCCTACAGAGGGTGGAAGCAAGGACAGGCAGCCTCACAGGAGTACAGAGAAGTTGTCTGAACAGTCAGGGATTATGTTAGGAAAGCCAAATCCTTTATAGAACCAAATCTGGCCAAGATTGTCAAGAGCAACAAGAAAAACTTCTATAGGTATGTTGGTGATAAAGGAAGACTAGGGAAAATGTGGAACCTCTCCAGAAGGAAATGGGAGACCTGGTTACCCAGTATATGGAGATGGCTGAGGTACTAAACACCTTTTTTGCTTCAGTCTTTCCCAGCAAGTGCTCCAGACACACTGCCCAAGCTGCAGAAGGCAACACCAGGGACTGGGAGAGTGGAGAACTGCCCAGTGTAGGAGATCAGGTTTGAGACCATCTACGGAACCTGAAAATGTACAAGTCCATGGGACCTGATAAGATGTATCTGTGGGTCCTGAGAGAACTGGCAGATGAAGTCTCTAAACTGGTGAAGTTCCAGCTGACTGGAAAAGGGGAAACATAATCCCCATTTTTAAAAAGGGAAAAAGGAAGACCAGCGGAACTACAAGCCAGTCAGTCTCACCTCTATGCCTGGCAAGATCGTGGAGCAGGTCCTCCTGGAAACTATGCTAGGGCACATGAAAAATAAGGAGGTGATTGGTGACAGCCAACATGGCTTCACTAAGGGAAAATCATGCCTGGACAAATACCCTTCTACAACAGGGTAACAATGTTGGTGGATAAGGGAAGAGCAACTGGTTTCATCTACCTGGACCTGTGCAAAGCATTTGACATACTTGTCTCTATATTGGAGATACATGGATCTGATGGATAGACAACTTGGTCAATAAGTAATTGGCTGGATGTTTGCACTCAAAGAGTCAACAGTCATGATCAACGGTTAGATGTTCAAATGGAGACCAGTGATGACTGGTGTTCCTCAGGGGTCGGTATTGGGACTGGCACTGTTTAACATCTTTGTCAGCAACATGGACACTGGGATCGACTGCACCCTCATCAAGTTTGCCAATAACACCAAAATGTGTGGTGTGATCAACATGCTGGAGGGAAGGGATGTGCCATCCAGAGGGGCCTGGACAAGCTTGAGAGGTGGGCCTGTGCCAACTTCATTAAGTTCAACAAGGCCAAGTGCAAGGTCCTGCACATGGGTCAGGGTAATCCCAAGCACAAATTCAGGCTGAGTGATAAGTGGATTGTGAGCAGCCCTTCAGAGCAGGACTTGTGGCTATTGGTGGGTGAAAAACTGAATATGAGCAAGCAATATGTGCTTGCAGCCCAGAAAGTCAACAGTATCCTGGGCTGCGTCATGAAAACTGTGGCTAGCATGTCAAGGGAGGTGACTCCTCCCTTACGAGGGCAGGCTGAGAGAGTTGGGGTTGTTCAGCCTAGAAAAGAGAAAGCTCTGGGGAGACCTTATTGTGGTCTTTTAGTACCTAAAGGCGGCTACAGGAGAGATAGGGAGGAACTCTTTATCAGAGGTGTAGTGATAGGACAAGGGGTAATGAAAGTAGGTAGATTTAGATTAGATGTAAGGAAGAAATTCTTTACTATGAGGGTGGTGAGGTGCTGGAATAAGTTGCCCAGAGCAGCTGTGGCTGCCCCCTCCCTGGCAGTGTTCAAGGCCAGGCTGGACGGGGCTTTGGGCAACCTGGGCTGGTGGAAGGTGTCCCTGCCCATGGCAGGGAGTTGGAACTAGATGATCTTTAAAGTCCCTTCCAAACCAAACCATTCTATGATTCTATGATTCTAAACTGAAACAGATTTCATAAAAGGTATCTCTACAGATTCTTGCATTTTATCTTTTCTTAATCTGATCCTAATCAATTATTTGGAAAGACAACAGAGAGTGTCCTAGGAGTATTAAACGGGTTTTTTAAAGCATTCCAATTTTCCTAGAGCTTTATTAATCACTGCACTATATTCTGCTAATTCAGTCATCTGGACAAAGTTTTTTTCCTAAAAAAAAAAAGAAAAAAAAAATAACTGGTTTCAAAACACTTTAAATCCAAAGTTTCTGTCTTTTCTGTGATATATTTACCCGTAACTAAACTATTAACTTTAACATATAACATTTAACATTTAACATAGAACAGCTGAAAAAAACATGTTCTTAATTACAGTAGAATTAGTGTGATATTAAAATATTATTATTGTGATACTTCTGTTAAAGTTCTATCAACACTTTCCAGAGATATGGCAACAGCTGTATTTTGAAAGTTTTATCATCTGGACAGAAAAGCATTCTCCATCCTAAAGTTTCCAATTAAAATTGTGTATTAAAGAGGATATGCTTTTTAAATTCAGATGTAGAAAAGATCCAGATCTCTAAGCCACAAAATCATAAAATAAATTAAATGATACAGCACTAAGGGTTTTTCCTGCTTTTTAAGCTGATTTTCTAGCATCACAGAAAATACGCTACCAAAAAAAAAAAAAAAAAAAAAAAAAAAAAAAAAAGAGAGAAAATAACAGGCTTTTTTAAGATTCTCAAGAGGAGCATCAAGAGTTTAAGCACCCAACATTATTAATCCCTTCTGAAATTCCTATTGCAGGTGCATGCATTTCTTTCTTGAACATGTGAAGCCCAATCCAAACCTCTCAGTCATAAATAGAATGAGTACCACTGATTCTAAACATCTTTACTA